CCTGTGTCCTGAGAAAATCTTGTGCCGCAGCTGAGGGGCTGCAACATATATATAGGGATATTTTGTGCTACAAAGCAAGCCACACCTGCTGATTCAGGCAGCATGTTTCTTTGTGCTATTTGCTATCTAAAATGAACTGCTGTTGCAAGCTGTGCCCCGCTCGGCACACTTCAAGATACTTTCTTGAAGACCTTGTGCCACGAAGACCACACAGGGGTTGCTAATGATAGGGATGCATCGATTTGTTATAAACTTGTTGCTCAGGAAGGAACACGGATGCAGACCAATGTCAAGGTCATCTCTGTAGCTTGATACCCAGGCTGCTGTATTTTTCATACCCTACGCATGTGCTCGACATGCAGGCAGACAGATCTAAGTTATGGCCATTTCATTTAATACACCCCAGGACCTTCGTTTGTGCCCTCGTTCCGCCAAGTCCGACTCATAGGTCTTCACTTCTTATATCAAAGGAAGACTACACGTTCCAACGAGGGCCTGACGATGCCAGAGGGCGGATTTTGAGCCGCCAAACTCACCACTGGTTGGACCTCCCAGCACCTTCAACAAACTGTCAAGGAGGCACCTTCTGTTGGATGGCGCTGCATGGCGCTTTGACAACGTTGGGTTTCTTGAGCAAAAGGAACACGAACTGCTGCTTTGACCCGTCAGGAGCTACATGCATCGCTTCTTCCGATCCTTTGAGCTCTGCAGCTTGGCCGTTCCCACCGCTCCGGAGCTCTCCTTTGTGTCTGCTTTGGTCACCCGTCAGGCGACGAAACGCTGTTTACAGTCAGCATGGAGTCTCCATGCAGTCGCCTGTGTCGCCAGTTGGCCATGGTTTCGTTGATCGTAGGTTGAGCTCGAAATCGACGAAATCTCGACATCTCAAAGATTTCTTTGTGGGGTCATGGCGTGTGAGATGGTTTGATCGCTTTGTATGCATGTTCCGCTGGATTGGAGAGCTTGCTAGCTTATCTCCAAGTCAGGAGCAGCTGGCTCACTTGCCCCTTCTGGGGCAGATTGTCGTGATTCAGGACTGACAGGGAAGGCAGAGCAAATAGGACCAACAGTTTAAAGAAGCAACAAAACCCAGAACTCTAACACCCTCTTATTCGATCAAGATTTAAAGCTTCGCGAGATAGAGATCAGACCACAGCCAGGGCGTCCCCTTGTTTGAACAGTCACCTGGTAAACTAGAAAAGATGACAAGATACTATTACCAGCGTGGTGTTTTGGAGCTTATCTCATCCAGCTCTTTGGAGAATTCGTTGCTTCGCTCCTTTCGGATGTTTCATTGGTCTCCCAGTTTCCAACCTTGCGCAGAACTGGATCTCCGACCGCCTTCATGGGATCGTGCCCGAATCTTGCTTGGATCAGCCTTTGGTAAAGCTTGTGAAACAGAAGCAGAAGGACCGGAACCCACCCGGAGACACAGTTGTTGATGATTCGGGAGGGACTTGGGAACACTCACCAAACCCTTGTGGCAATTCACTCCAAATCATTCAAATCTCATGTAGATTGACCAATCCTCGCATGAGTTCTGTGGGTCCAATGCCTGTATTCTGCACGTTTTGAAATAACTTCCAAAGAAGGCTGCGTGAGCAGGATTTCAAGTCTTCCCACTATCCATCACTGGCTTGTCTTCCACGGAAGCAGCTTGGTTTCTGGGACCCTCTTCAGGACGCGGAGGAAGAGCGCCACTGTAAAAGAGTCCTCTGCCACTTCGAGAGTTTTGTGAAGAGCTGGAAGCGATTCTATAGGGAGAACGAGGGCAGACTTCCGGTGGAATGTCAAGCTGGCCGAGCTGCGCTGGGTATGGAAACGCAAGACTCATTGCTCGAGGCCGAAAACATCAGCGATATCAAAGTAGGACCTTATAGCAATGGACCCTTAAGAGAACCTGAAGAAGCAGTTTCCTCTGCAAACCACTGGTATAGGAGTTCATCTGAGTCTGCAGGAGGTAACCATTTCACAAGGATTTTGTTCTATTATTCATTTTTCCCTGGTGCAGGCCATTGATGATGAAGATGATGGGACAAAGCTGCCCTTGCGCTTCTTCGTGAATGGAGATGAGAAGTGTCAGTCACAGGTGGGTTCTGTTGACAACGCCGTAAAAACACACGAAGTTGCACCCTGTATGGGTCGATCCTGTGACCACCGTCACCCACATGATCCTGTGTGCCGTCGCCACCGCATGATGCACCGGTCGGTGCTTTGGACCCGCAGGTTGTGGCCGAGTATCTTTGCAGCTTGTGGAATGAGATGATTGCAGCTGCTGCCGCCGTGCTCCGAGAGAGTGGCGGAAACTGTGAGCTCTGGGCCGGACGAATGGAGAGGTGGGAAGAGTTCTGTCTAAGTGTGGGCAGTGAATCATAGTTGTTGCCTTGTTGATGGGCATTTGCCCAACATATCCAACTTGATGTACAAGCAGCTATTCTGCCAAGTTGCTTAGCTGTACTTGAAACCATCTGTGCTTGCCTGACTCCCAATGCAGCTTGGGTCAAAACATGGCCATGAGTCCTGACCACCTTAGATTTTGAGCCGAAATCTCTTCAGAAGGTCCTTCCCAAGGTCTCCCCTATCCTCGAGAACCTTCACACTGACCTTGATGCTTGATTCACCCTGCATGAGGTCGATCCCTCTGGGACTGGCTGACCTTCTCTTCCAAGACCAAATCACCGAAGCCCTCAAGTCCAACGCCTTTCTCCGGCGCAGCATCCTCCGGCACCTGCGCGGGGCGCGGGGCGTGATCGCACCTTTGGTCGACTGGACCGCCGTGCAACAGGCCGGGCGGAGCGGAGCGCAGGGGGTCCGCCCTGACGACCCAAGACCCTAGAGCCAATGAAGTGCCCAGCACAGTTTGGTTGATCCCCAACAAGAAGCCTTCTTTTACAATCGCTTGGCCATGTTTCACCATGGGTCGACTACGACTGTAAACATGACCCAACACTACCCAGTTCGAACTCATGGCGCCAAAAAGGAGCCTCAACTTTGCTGCCTGGATTCCGACTCCTCCCCCTGTCATCGTCACGTCTCGTCACGTCGAAGCGCCTGTGAGAAGCGAATGGGAGGAGATCTTGAGCTCTGCCTGGGTGCATCGTGTGCAGAAGTTGGACCTTCCGCCCTTCTCTCGGTTTTGGCCTCGACCTGAGACGAAGGCTGTCTCCTTTGATAGCACGGCGCCGCTGGATGCAGAGGTCGAGGAGAGGAAAGAGGGGAAAGATAGGAAAGGGATGGAAAGGGTAAAGGGTAACTGTGACCTGCGGAAGACTTGGATTCTCAGTTCGAATCTTCCCCGCTCTCCAAAATCGACCGACGTCGCATCGGACTGGTGCAGAGACTGATGTGCAGCCTGAAAGCATCTGGAAGCACAAGTTTCCTCATCCCGGTAAAGTGGACTGCGTGACAAACAATGCGGGTCCAGTCCAGGCCAATGGTTCTTGAGACCCCACAAAGAATGCATGCACTGGAGGTCACTCAGAGAGAGGAGGGTGCAATGTCAATCGCCCTGAGAAGGAAGAGAATGGCTCAGTGTGAGCAATAAACACCTCCTATTTTACCAGCCGAGCTTGAGTTTACAAACGTTTTATCACTCGGACGACCAGCTTTGCTTTCACAAACCTCCCGCCCGTTCCGCGAGGAGAGGGTCATGGAGTTTCTGGCGCAACTGCCCCTAGTGGAGCTTCAGTCCTGCAGAGAAGAGATCGCTCGAATCAGTTTGCATGTGGGCGACTGGGCACGTTCAAAGAGCTTTCAGGTGTAGAGGTCTCTCAAGAGAGAATGACGTTATTTCCACCCTCTTTCCGATTGTTGCGGATGGACCCGTTCTCTGTGTGTCGGGAACTGCAACAGGGGTTCCACGTGTCTGTTTGTGGCGAAACTTCCGGGATTGTCGTGGGAGCAGGCCACTAGTGCTGTCGTTGGACCAGCGACTCCAAGTTTCATCACCAGGTGACGCCGATCCACGGAAGTTGGTTCTGGAGATGGAGGAGATCAGCCAGCTGAGAGCAGTACTGCCTGAGCAGGTGCGCGGGGGAGTTTCATCCTGTTGAGCGTTCAATTGAGAGATTCATGTGGAAACCTTCCTAGATTTGCAAGGCAAAGCACAAGGCATACACAGGGAAATCATGAAGGGCTGATCGTCACGCTTCCAGCGCTCTGCACTTCTGATCTAAGCTTTGTTTGAGAGTATCGAAAAAAGAAAACCAGGCTTTGATGACCTGTGCTATGAGAAAGACTGAACAAGACAAAGAAATCCAGGAAGAGTACGGTACTTGGTTTAGTCATTCAGTCAACCCTAGAACGTGAGAATTTAGAATCCTTAAGATTACAATTTGAAGAGAAATCAGCATTCATATCCACAGGCAGTCGACAGGTTTGAAGAGGATAGATTGGATCTCTTTTGACCAGGTTTGATGTTCCCTCCCAAGGTCACTGCCTTGCTTCGTGGCATTCGGGTCGGGGCGCTGAACGGGCTTAGAGAAATCCTTGACCAGGACAGCTACTGGTTGGGTCGACATCACACTGGGTGGACCATCAGCCAAGTGGTTTTTGGTTGGTGGCTTCTCATAGTCTTGAGCTGGTCTTACATCAACACCTTGAACCATCTTGATAATTATAGCTTGTCCGCGCAGCTTGAGTATAGTGTTCAGTTATTGTAGTTGTTGTTTGGCTGTTGTGATACTAGTAGTTGCAGTTGCAGTGTTGGTGGTGCTTGTGGTGAAAGTTGCTGTCTTGTTACTTCATGCCAGCTCTTCGTTTTCTTCTGTGCATTGTGTTTTCTTTGTTTTTGTCGTTGTCATTGGTAGGATTTCATGCTTTGCACACCACGTTCAGACAATAACCATGTCGTCTCTCTCTTTCTCCCGCTCCATGTGTTGAAAAGGAGAACGGGGAGTTCAGCCACCTGTCCAAAGTCTTCATGGCAGCTCCACCCACTGAGATTGACCTCACTGCGTCGCTGGCGCGTCACTTCCGGATCCGGACAGAGGCCACCCGCACGGTGCATGAGCTGGCAGGCAGGGATGCCGACCTGCGGGAGACGATCACCAACCTGGAGGCAGGGATGGTGAATCGAGAGCTCCAGAGGGCACACCAAAGAGATGCAATGCACTGATATAGATTCAATCAGATTGAGATAAAGATTTACAAGACAATCAGCCATGGCCTCATGGTCTTGAGATTGCCTAGAGCGAATCAGTGATGCATTCGCCTCCAGGAGAGCGGCTTTTGTGCCCATTTGCTGACTTCTCCCAACACTCCATTGCTGGAGGTCTACCAGGCAGTGTTTCAATGCGAGGGTGTTCTCAGCCAATTGCCCTGTCAGATTTTGGGTTGTCACTTGGTGGCGGTGCTTCAATCCCTGCGGGTCTTGCTCCGTAAAGTGCGAGCCCGGAAGTGCGCGTTGGACCGCTGCACCTGCTGGAACCCTCGGGAAGGGATCCAAGCGCTGTCCAGTTGGGCAGAAGATGAATCCAGAGGTCCTTGGTGGGAAGACCCGCAAGGACCCGGAAGACACTCATGTTGAGTTCATGTATGTTTTAACTGCTTCAAAACTTCAGAAAGCTTGACATGCGAACATGCGGAACACAGCGCAGGATCAGAAGAGGTGACCAATGCGGCTGAAGACGTAGCTATAGTGACCCTAGCCCCAGAGACCATGCTGCCATGGGTGTGCTGGGCATGTGGGACAGAAGAGATTCCAAGTCACTTGGTACATGCACTGGACCCACAGCTACGACACGTTCTGGAACATTGCGGCTTGAAAGTGGAAGAGAAAGCTAGGCCACCAGGAGCCCGTTTTCCTTGCCTTTTGTGTCAAGAGTCGGTTCAGGGGACGCGATAGGTTGGATTGAGGGTCCTCTGACTTGGTTTCCGAAGCAAAAAGGGGGTTTGAAGGGGTCGTGATGTTTCAGGAGATCCTCTTGAAGCAGAGAGGAAGCTGAGCAAGCTGTTGGATCTCTTTGAGAAGCAGGTGAACGAGTTCGGACTCTTGGTGTCAGTCCCCCGACCTCGGCACGGGTTCTTGGGACCGGGTTCCTCATCAACGATTTTAACACCCTATTCTGCATATACCTGTCCTTTATGGGTTGTACCTTGCGAGGAAGATTACTGTAGGCTCTTGATGGATTTGTGAGGGCTGACGCGATGCGGAGTCTGCCAGGAACGGTTAAGAACTCCAGTTGGCAGAGCTCCCTCTCGGTGAAGGTGGCTCACTTGAGGACTCTGCTGGACTACAAGGACTCGTTCCTTCGGACGGTGATGCCGATGGTGACAATGTGATGACAATGAGCCGTTGTGGAGGAATGTGAAGTGTTGAGCTGGATTCAAGTGTGTTATCAAGCTTGGTGTGTTGTCACACTTCACAAGTGTGTTGAGCGTTTCTTCAACACGGACTGTGTTTGCTTGGGGTTTTTGATGAATGCCGTTCTCCAGGAATGCTGTCGAGAAAAGCTGGATGAAGAGCTCTGGCGTCTTGCATCCTCAAGACTTGGACTTCAGGGCGGCTTCTTGGAGACTTCAACAACTCATTGGGTCATGCTAGGTGCAGGGCGAAACAAACGGCAAAAAGGCAGACCAAGAGCAAACAAACACGAATTCATTGGAGTGCTCAAGGCTTTTGGCATCCATCCAGACCAGTTCTTCTTCCAGAAACGACTCGGAAGTGATCGCTTCACTGCGAAACGACTCTGTTCAAGAGCTCATCTGCCATGATCAGGTGATCGTTCCATCCGAAACGAATCCCACCGACCGCCCGACCGTCGCCGGCCGTTCGAAGCACCGAGACTGCGCCCTGCGGGGCGCCTGGCGGCGCTTCGTGGGGGGCTTCGCGGCCCATGCCTCGGAGGAGCTGGAGGAGGCACGGCTTGGACCGGTGGATTCTTCGGTTTTAGATGGTCAGAAGACGCTAGTAACAAGGGCATCGCCACTAGTAGCTAGGGCATTACTACTAGTAGCAAGGGCATTACTACTAGTTATTAGTAGCAAGGATGGTTTTGGTGGGTTTTGGCTGGGTTTTCGGGGACGCGTTTTGAGACCAGGAGATGAGGAGACGAAGCGTGACAGGAGGAGTAATTAGGAGGAGCAGGAGGAGTGAAGATCAACGTAAATAGCTCGGGATTGAGATGATGGGATGCGGAAGAATTGGATGGAGCTGAAGAAGGGAGACCAAAGCACCCACAGGCTTGCCAGTCTAATTTTCCCCTTTACAAGCGTGTTTGGATGGTACTCCATTTTTGACCACAGCTATTTGGTGCTTCTGCCTGCGGATTATTCTTTTGCTCATGTTTGGGTGAAACTTTTTGAAGACCCGAAGGTCGCACTGTGCACCTTGACTCATTTTGACACAGTCAGGCTGTTCGAAGAGTGGTGGAGCTGCCGCTAATTGTGTCTATCATTAAGGATGCGGAGAAGTATACTTTGGAAGGCCGGCGCGCCAGCTTTGTGGCATCCTCTAACCAGCAGGGCAAGTCACACAGGAAGTCCATCTGGGCCTCGATATACAATGTTATTTTCTACCGAGAGTCTTAGTGACAACACGTTAGTTTGGATTAGTTCTTCTCGCCTGCTTCTTTGGCAGTCGTGCAATGTTATGCCAAAGCAGATGCAAACGGTTGAACGCCATGTTTTCCTGACACGTGCTCAGAAGCTATCCTGCGAGCTCCCTTAAAGCAAGGTAGTACATGGGAGGATGTGATGGCGTGGGAAGCGTCGACTGGCAATCCATCGCTTGCACGAGTTCCGCCGGAGGCAGCAAGGTCTTGCTCCGCTACAAGAACCACTACTACCAGCTGGACTTGATACCTGAGCCCCAAGCTGAAGCTGCAGATGCAGGCTGGATTGGATTTCGTTCATATTGCAAGATTGGGAAGAAGCAGGTGCTATCGATCGCGATTTGGGTTGGATTCTTTTTCAAGGTTCCTGGGATTCCCGGGTGGGTCAGCCGATCATTTGGAGGTAGACGTGGCACATGTGAGTGAGGTGTACAGAGAGACATACCTCGTCAGTGCCGTGGGTGGGACCGCGGAAGGGAAGGCAGAGGCAAGTTGAGATTTCTAGAGAAAAGCGCAAAACAATTCAATAAAGCGCGGACAAGTAGACATTTCTGACAAGATAAACAAATAGAAAAGTAGATGTTGTTGGAGACAAGTGCAGACAAGACAAGTCCAGATTTCTAGGGAGAAGGCAGGAACCTTTGGAGAGGACAAGAGAAGAAAATTAAAGATTCCAGAGAAAGGCAAAGAAAACATCGTAGACAGACATACAGGACAGTTCAGGTTTGGAGAGCAAAATGCGAAAAGATGTAAAAAAGTAGAGGTTTCTATGTGAGCAACAGCCAAAACGTCATTTTGGAAACTTGGCTAGTACCTGCAAAAGCGACAAGTCCCCTTCCAAAGCGATAACCGTGTTGAATCATGTCCTCTTCGTTACAAGACGTTTTGGAAGGCGCTCTTATAAAAAACCGAGTACTTCATGACAATCTCGCAAAGCACCAGGCTACACTCCAAAATGATCACCGCGTTATGTCCCTGCGTGACAAAGTCATTAAGATATTCTATTGGGCCTCACCACCCGACACTATTACCATCGACATTTCGCCAACTTCAAGTTAACTAGATCACAATTTGCCACTTGCACAGCACCTCAGTATCTTCCTGCTAGATCGATGTAGCAAGACGACTCTTTGCTCACTGGCTGCTTTCGCTGCATTGCCTGGTGTGCCGCTGAAGCGGTCGCAAAAGGTATTCATATCAAAAGGTATTCATTGCAGGCTTTGGCTAAGTCTCTTGGCTGGAAGTAGACGCATGACTATCGTCACTATCCGTCTATCGTGACGATCGGGTACAGGAGACGTGTTTGTTCATAGAGTGCCAGACAAGTACTTAGCTGGATGAGCAGCTGGATAAATGCATGAACCGCCGTGCTAAGTTACTAGGACACATCCTCCGGAGTAGTAATCATGACCCAATGCGACAGGTTTCACATGTCCCCAATTCTGTCTAGAGTGGATTATGGCACACCAAGACAAAACTGGCTGCAAAACAAGCTCTTCGACGTTACAAATTCACACCCTCTGCCAGGATCCATTGATGATCCTCTCCAGGTGCTGCAGCAAGAGGGTGGTGTACTTGCCATACGGCTTAGGTTCTATTTAGACCAAGAGATCCTTTCAGTCATGTAAAGAGGAACCAATTCATGTACTTAAAGCAGGTGGATTGCCTCTCGGGTGTCCACCTGGGCGCCCGCGCCAGGGCGAGGGCGTCGCCGAGCCGCGGAGCTTGACTCAGCGGTTTCTCCGGTTTTGTGCGTCGATGGCGGCATCTGGGCGAAGAAGAGCAGTCGTTTTTTTGCAAAGCAATGAATTTTGGAGCAATGGGGACGTGCTGGGGGAAGTGGTGCAACAAAGCCCCCCCAAACAGTTTTGGAGTGGGTGTTCACTGACATTGGCTGATGTTACAGCATTGACAGAGAAGCTCGCCAGCTCACGAAGGTCATTGTGTGACAAAATGCTCGGTCGCGACTGCGGCAGCCGTCCAAGCCGCTCGACCCCCGCCGCTGTGCGCTGAGGACCGTTCCTGTCGGAAGAGGCTTGCTGAGAAGCCGATCCAACAACTGGAGGAGGAGAGTGGCGGACGAAACGAGGGTCCCTGTTGAGGAAGATGTCAGCGTACTTGTGGCAAAAGAGAGGGATGCCATGAGTTCCAAGTGCTGTGAATTGAAGGGTTCACTGGTCTTGGGTCTTAAGAGTTGGTATTTGGGAGGGTTGGTGTCTGTGCAGGTTTTCCTCTCGCTTTCTTTCAAAACTTCTGAAAGCGTCTGGCAGGAATCGTCTGCACGCGACCGCAATGAGGCTGTGGGTCTGTGGAGCGATTTGTCATGGATGGACACGGTTGAGGCTGCAAGGGTTCTCCCATCCATGCTAACAGCATCAAACCCTTCAATACCGAACGATAATCCTTCATAGCCGCATGACCGCCCGTGCAGATATATGGTTCAAAGACAATTTTTTTATGCGTCGGACGTACCGGGAGCTGATCTGAACCTGAACCTGATGTTGATACAGAATTTAGATGAATTTAGACTGTTTGCAAGCTGTTTCATCGAAGCACAACCAGTGAGGCTTTCTTTGGAAGCATGTTTAAGCACATGATCCCTCACTCGCTGCTGCAAGTCAGGAGCGGCTCTCCAGAAAGAGGGTTGCTGACAAGCCAGTCGAAGTGCTGGAGCAGGTGCCACTGGGTGCGCTGGGTGAAGGGGTGAGTCTGGCGAGACGAACAGTCCTTCCTTTGTTGGAAGTGGACCCCGTGGACCCCGCAGACACGTCGATTGCAGACTCGGCTCTGGCACAAAGACCCCGTGTCAAGACTCTGGCTTCGTGCCCGACTGTTGCAGGAGCTCCATTCCCAAACAAGGGCCGCTGACAAACCCATCGGACTGGAGAAGGTGTGTGAAGGGATGGGATTCGACGATGAGATGGGTCAACACCGACCAACACCCGTGGGACAGTAGGTTGCTTTGTTCATATCTGCGAGACCAAAATACTGAAAAGAGGCCAAGAGAACGGAATCATTCCTTGGCTCCTGCCTTTAGGGCACCCTTCAGGGCACAGCTTCGATCATTTTTTTGATTGTCATGACAAACCAGGAATTGTTTGGCTTAGAGGCATCCCTTTGAACGAGGTTATTTCATGTTATTTCCAAGTGCTGCATGTGATTTGCATTCAGACAGGAAGAGATTTCGTCGAACCCTTTCCACGCATCCATGGTGCGGAACGGTTGTTTCAGTTTCACCACCATGTTCCTTTGCGGAAATCTGAGGGCTTTCGGTTTCAGTATCGGTTCTGTCCTGCGCTGAGCTGAAGGACATCACCGGCGCTGCAGGCATCGGGCTCTTGGCTAGTTCCGACTGGTAGCAGTGCCAAAACGTCTTTGGTTTACAGTAACTTGTGTTTCAGTTCCAAGGAATCGTTTATTGGTGTTTATTGACAATATATTATTGTGTCATGTTCTGTCTAAGTTTGCTGACATCGGGTCTAACCCTGAGGACTTCTGTGAACCCTGACGAGCCCTTCATGTTTGTTAACATGGGAACTGGACACACGAGACGCAATCCAGTGCTTTCTGTTTGATCAGTCATGACGACGCACGGACCTTTTGCCAACGACGGTTGTCCGTCCGGAGGCGACGAAGCTACGAACGAGTTGACTAAGATCGAGGAGGATGGTGAGGAGGATGAAGACAGCTGGGATATTGTTTAAATTGAACATACTGACGTATGTGCAGAGTTCATTGATGTATGTACATACTGGACATAGGTTGGTTGAGGGCTTTGTCCCTTTCAATCAACATGGACCTGCGAATTGCCCAAGAAATGGCCTAGTAGGCAGCTAGTTGCATAGTTTCCGTGCACAAGACACGATTCTTGGCGCTGAATAAAGGTTCAGACAGGTTGAATGCCCTGGACGGGTTCTAGCTTACCGAGATGCAATAGATTCAGAGACTCAGCAGATGCGATTTTATCGTCAGCTTTGACCTAGTGACACTGGAGGTCAAGCCAGTCTCGCAGTGTCTGCTTGCTAGCTAAGTCATGCTAAGTTCCGTTTTCAGCCTAATTCGCCCTCTGCTTCGGCTCAAGAAAGGCGATATTATGCTGCCAAATCCTGTTGTATTCTTGTTTCTATTTGCCGAGCTCTCGAGCAGTGTGAGGCGAAGCCATGAATGGACTGAGGGGGAGGCAATGGAGCTGCTCCTGAGAGCGAAGGAGAGAGCTCACAGAGATGCCGAGGGAGACCGTGCAGATGTTCGTGAACGCATCTCCAAGTGCGGAGGGAACCTAGACCATATGGCAGAAGAGTTGATGGATGCCTTTGTCAAAGAAGCACAAAGTGCACCTTTGACCATCAATTTTGATGCTGCTCGCTACGTGAAAGTAGCAGAACAGAATCAGGGTATCGCGGCCGATCAGTTCAATGCTAATGTCATGAACCTCTGGCAGCTAGCTCTTCTGCCGCATTCCCCACTAGGGGATCGAGGCATCAGAGACCGTCAAGATTACAGCTATGCCAACCAACGCTATGACACGGAAAAGTGGCTTTGGGGCTTTACCAGTGCACCTGAAAGTTGGAGCAATGCTGGAGAGAGGCCTCTGAGTGTCGGATTGGGGGTCTTTGAAGCAGCTCACCTTAATGGAGTAGCAGTCTCATTGACCTACGGCTCTTCAGCCCTTTTCCTGTCTCCCAAACTCCGGGAGCGTATGACTCTCATAGGAAAAGACGCCAAAGTGGCCTTCGCAGATCTCGGAATGCCCAAAGACTATGATGCCAGCTTCCCGGAGTGGGAGCCCTGGAAGCCACGACCAGCTCCGAAGCCGACAGATCCCATCCTGCAAATCCCCAAGTTGGAAGCTGCGGGAGGATTGCCTTACGTGGGCACTTTTGACAACCCCTTAGCAGCACTCAAGACCGTATCGTGCTCATTGCTGAGACGGTGGGCCGACTACGTAGCCTCTGGTACGGATGTGAAGGCATCAAGCCGATTTGAATATCTCGAGGCCAATATCTTTGGGGGCGTTCGCTTTGCTGAAGATGTTGAGAAGGCAGTCGTGAATATAGAGACCTTCAGCCCCCCTGAAGACATTACCGCGCTGGATTTGACGAACAAAACCCTTGCGTTGCAAACTGTTTGGAACAAGCTTAATGTCACGACGCAAACTTCACTGAAAAACTCATCTTGGTGTGGGATGTGGCGTCTTGGCCGTGAAAGGAACATTCGACGTTTGTCCTGGTGCATTGCCGTCGAGATCTCCGAGTGCATTCGGGAAGTCGACGCGACAGATGATTTGTCCTGTTTGGCTTGAACTCATGGCCACAATGGCTTGTAATTATCCACAAGTCATGGAGAGCAAATTTGCTCAAGAATCACTCAAGAACATCAAGAACTGTGAAAAAGGTCTAATAGATTCGGTCTGGTAGACTGCCGTGGGATTTGCGTCTTTGGGAAGATAGAACCTGGTTGTCTTCGTGGCCGTTTCAGCGGTTCAAATACCGCAGAGGGTGCAGCCTGAAGATTCGAGATTGGCAGTCACCGTGGCCTGATTGAACGCCCTTCTCACATTTGATGCTTTCATACGGAAGTATAAGGATTGTAGAAAGGGAGATATAGTAGCACTACCATTTGTTATCATTTGTTTATGTTTCAAAGACATCTTTTTGTTCTCCAGGTGCTTTGCTTGACCTGATACCATCCGACGCCAATTTAGAGCAACATTTGTCCTTCTTAAGTCCCCTGTTGTGTCATTTGATATGTCAAAGTGGACACATGCAGATGTGGGTTGCCTTGACTGTTTGACTCAAAGAAGAGATGTATATATATATATATAGTTATATAGATGCTGTCACACTCTTCGTCAGCTTAAGCAATGCGACGCCAGGCATGGACAGCGAAAGCTTCGGTTTTTTGGTGGAGTGGTATGACTCGCAGGCGCTTAGCGCAACTAGGAGCTGTCTTGGATACACACGTCAATGTTTTCAAATGCTTGGAAAAGACCAATTCAAATATGAATTTCATGACTCCTGGCTATTGCTTGGGAACAGTGTCAAATTTGGTCTCATGCCAGCACATGGCAGGCAGATCTCATGCGGGAGTGCGCGTTTTTTTTCAGGGGCCTTGCCAGCCGAAAGCCTCCAGAAAAGGAAACAGTGGAAGATCTCCAAGATTGAAAGCCTTCAGAAGGGGGATGCAGTTGGACGAAATGTTTTTTAAATTGTTTGTTGGAGTCAACCAGCAGATCAAGGTAGGGCACTATGGCCCTATGAAAGGCTTTGGCCTAGCCCTGCCACCCTCCAGGTACCAGCTGACGGTGTTCAAGCCGCAGAAAGGGTCCCTAGAAGCTGCGATGTATGCACGGTGCCTGAGAAGAACTCTTGAAGTTAGTGGCCTCACAGTAGTAGCAACGGCGCTACTACGGGCTCCTGGCATCGCTACTAGGAACAAGGACGCTACTGGGGGCTCCTGGCCTTACTGCTAGGAGCAAGGGCGCTACTAGGAGCTTCTTGAGATTGTTGTATACAGCTCGGATCTCCAGGTTTTCGTGGCTCACCAGGAGCTCAAATAGGTCCGTAGGGGAGGGTCCCTTGTGAACATTTTTGGGACTAACACAAGGAACAAGGAGATTCGGTTCGATTTGATCATATCAACTTCATTCAAAATCATTAGACCATCTTAATCAATTTCGCCACCCTGGACCTTGGAAATTGGTACCATCCTTAAGGCCCCCCTTCCGCAGGACTCCCCACACCTTCAATCGGACCGACGAGCCGGGACCGGCTTCCGCACACCCACCAAGGACCCGAAGGCACATCGAGGCTTTCTGAAGCGAGTGGGAGACTCAGATGGCGAGAGCGCATGCTGGAGCACATGCCAAGCCCATGACTTGGGGTCCCATGTCATATCGAGCCATGTGAGAGGTGAGAGGTGAGAGGTCTTGGAGCTACTACGGCAAATGGTTTTTGTTGACGTCGTGCCAAGGGTTGGTTGAGAGGTGTCAGGTTTGTGTCAATGATTCGTTTTGCTTCACACCTGTCCCACTTGTCCTCCAACCCCTCAATGCCCAGCTCTGCCCAGCTCTGTGGGCCCTTGATATGTTTTGATGGGCCCTGCGAAGCGCCGTCCTGAGACCCCTGTTCCTAGCTTGAAGATGGAGGACTTGCTCGTTCGGACCTGAAGAGGTTCAGAGATCAAGAAAGAATCACCTCAAGACTTGGGTGAATTGCGGTACTGGCCTGGCGAAGGCCTGAAGAAGAGGTATTTTTGAGAATCAAAAACTGGTGCACAGCGGCCACCTTTTGACCATTGAAAGAAAGATAGGTGCAGAGTCAAAACGCTGCCTGAATTCTTTGCATCGTCAAAACATGACATGGCTCTTCACAGAGGTTGTGAGGCTGACAGGTGGTGATGAATCCCACTGATAGGATGTTTTTTGCTTTATGCTGCATCACCTGTCCACAGCAAATATTCTGTTTGAGAAAATAAAGAACTTGCAACACTTGGCTTGTCACCCTGAGGTTGGCAGCACGGTCACGATTTATGCCCGACATTTGAAGGCCCTGTCGTGCACCTCAGGAGATCTTGGACTCGTCTTAGGTGGAACGTCGGCGTTTTTTTGTTTTCCAAGTTGATCTTGTCTGACACGGCATTGTGCAGTAAGAGTGGATAGTTTCACAGAGATCTGTACGTGCAGCGCGCGTGCAGGTCAAAGCCTATGCAGACAGCCACACGTCTCGGGCTCGTTGCATGTTGGACATGCAGACATGATCAGTCCGCAGCCTGAAGCTGAGTGAAGCGACTGAGGCGCAATGCACTGGAGTGCAAGAGGGCGTCGTTTGTGGCCAAGTCTGCCTTGTTTGGTCATAGTCATAAGTCATTCAACTTTTCAATGAGGTTAGCAATCCTCTTGCAACCTCCTGCATTCCCACAGTCAAACTCTCAGTTCAAGATCACTGCAACATGCCGGTGTTCGGACGTACTTGGGTCTTGAGACGTCTTGAGACGGCTTGACATGCACAGCTTGGTAAGGCTTGGTCAGCTGGTCAGCTGCATTGAGTCGGGCGGCTTGAAAATCCAACGGCTCCGCGGGGCTCTCAGTCGATGCCGTGCGATTTGGCATTGAGCGAAGTATTTTCTGTCCTCACTAGCAGATGTTATCAGTCTCCGGATATCAGTCCTTTGAGTACAACTCCAAAAATCGAGTTTACAGACTTGTAGAGAATTCCATCACCTTTCAATAGCCTCATGACCTATACCCTCCCCACCAAGGCCTGGTGAACGAAAGCGGACCTGTTGTGGCCTTGGAGGCGCGAAACCAGCGGAACCCGTTGTGGACGCTCGCCGAGCGGCGCGGGCGATCGTCGGCCGCAGGTCGTGGGGGATGATGCGGATCTTCTCTGGAGCCAAGCATGTCAGATCTCCTCAGACTGGTAGGGGATTGGTGATCTGAAACGACGGGGTCAGACGGGTGTTTTTAGCCATGACAGTTGAGAAAGTACATTCTAACCTAGAATCGGAAAACGTCGAAGATCTGATGGAAAAGGACAAGTGACCGGGGAACTAAAAGTAGTTTAAGTAGATGTACACGTCCACACCACTGATCTTGTTGAGCATTTTTTTGGCACCAGCAGCTTCATCCAGCTTCACTTGTCCTGAGGTGGTCATGTTCCCGCCACAGCCTACAAACAGGTGCAGAATGGCTCGGTCGCGGGAGACCCCGAGGGCGGTCGGTCTCGGTCTCGGTCGTCCAGGTGCCACGTGACCAGATCGAGCCCTATTTCTGTGACAGGGACCGATGGGACGTCGGTCGGTCGTGAGGACATGTTCGGGTCGTCGGTCGAAGGATGAGAATGATTTCGAATCACAATGAGTGCAGGCATAGAACATGAAGAACATGAAGTGAGATAGTTGCCTCAGGGTGGCTACACAGAGGGTAGTATCGCTACGACGGAGCTTCAACATTTGTCATATTGGAGCTGGTCGATGAAGGGCAAGCTTGGTGAAGAGCTTGCAGAATCCTTGGAGCCTTTTGGCCTAATTTTCGTCGCCAGGAGCGTTTCCCCTGCACTGCGGCTTTTGACCACTGCACGTTGTGCATCATCAGGCTTGACATAGAACTATCAGGGTGTCCAAACGATTGGAGTATGGCGCCCTGCCTCCATGCTTCATGTTGGGGCCATTTGCAAGCCCTAAACATGCCTGTCACATGATGCTCCACGGCGTTGTCTTCTTCAACCTCAATCTTCACACACAGACACACCATTTCTTTTGGATTGATCCATTTCGAACGGTGGTTTTAGATGGTCTGACCCTCCATTTCAACCCCCAAAAACAGAGTCCCTCATGACTCTCCCTCACCCCCTCGGCTGGAGGCCGCATGCCTTGAAGGCCGGGAAGGCTGGGGAGATCATGATGGCTATCCAGTCCGCTGGCCTTGAGATCTCCGCCGCGTCCGGGACCCCATCGGTCGCGCGGTCGAGACACCGACGTGTCGCGGACGGGACCGTTGGGTCGGTGAGACCCGACAGACGAGTCGGTCTTCTCGTGTTGATGTGAGCGTCCGACACGTGGAGATGCAGGTTTTGGTGATGATGTGCAACTGCACAGGAAAGTTTGGAGCTGTCCGAATGCAAAAGGGATTGCAAGTTCGATGAATGTGGTGGCCCAAACTGGGTTCCGCGTCCTCAACCTTTCAGGGGTGTTCATCGATACTTTGTCTCAACAGGTAAAAAGGCACTGGGGTCAGATATACTTCAGGGGCACTTGCCATCCGCAGAAGCTGCTGCAATCAACCGATGCAGTCCTCCTCATTGTCTGGGATGCGCTTAGTATACATACGTTACATAAGGAATAGAGACGAAGAGACTCAGTTAAGCTAGTCTGAGTCTGAGTTATACCTCACTCCTCCAACCGGCACAGCTAGATTAGATGTAGGACTATGAGACGCTCCTGCAGCCTGCACCCGATATGCCTGGCGCAGCGAACGAAGCAGCTCTCAGGGAGATGCTTCATCTTCAGCACGCAGAAGCAGCCGAGCTGTTAGATGTGTACAAAGGAGCCTGGGGCCCGGTTTTGTGCCATGATGTTGGAGATCAAAAGAGCTGGGAAGCTGGCGAAATGCAAGACTCCGCTCTTGTGCTCTGTGACTATCAGGTCGTGCCCTACCACAAAGAGATGGTGGATGGCATGAGCATCGCCCCAATGTTGGCATTAGTCCGGGCACTCGGAACGGATCGAAACTCCATCAACCATGCGGATGCCGACTGTGACCGTGCTATGCCCCTGTTTCTTCCTGGGCCTTCCAGGACCAAGACCAATCAACACCGCACACCTTCTTGGGTTGTTGACTTAGTCACCCCATAGGCCATAGTAGCTAGTCCGTAGCGATGGCCTCCAACCTAATCAAACTGTCTGGTCACCCAACACCTTTTGGGCTGATCACCCCACCCCAGGAGGTGCGAGCAGAAGATGCCGCCGTGGCGCGGGGCTTGAACCCGCGGTGAAGCGCCACGCTCGAGCATGGTGAAGCGCCACGCTCGAGCATGGTGAACCGCCACGCTGTGTTTCCCTAATGTCAACGCATGCGGCCAACCACACACAGTGGACATGGAGTTCAATTTCTGCTCTTGATCGATGTCCATTGATCTCCATTGTCTGGATAAACAAACAGAACAAAACACTGGTGTCCATTTTGATGGAGACCTTGCTATCGAGGAGAAGCTCCGGGAGCTTTGTGGTCCATATGATGTGGACATGGCCCTCCGACGAATTAATGCACGTTGGTGAGTGGGTTTGGGGACACCAGGGGATGAGGTGACCATGCTTGGGATTTTTGACGTTTTTTTGTTTTTTTTTGAGGTGAAGAACAAGTGAAGAACAAGGTCGGCTACAAAGAACCAAGATTAAACAGCTGAGCTTGTAGAGGCTTTTGGGTCTAGTCTGGTAGAGTTTGCGTGACTATGCTGGGCAAAGAGAGTGACAGATGCTGAGCCGCACTTCTGGAACTGCAGAACAACCACATACGACGTGTTGTTTTTGTGCAGTTTGTGATGATCTAGAGTCTCGTTCAATTTGAGATGTTCGACGACACACTTTCAATAGGAAGATGCGTTGTTAAAGAACTTGTTGCCTCCTCTTCACTCTGCCTTTTGATGGTATGAGATGCTCACTATTTGGGGGGGGAATCAGGCAATTCTAACCACTGTAACGAACCACCGCCCAGCAAAGATCCCAGTGATGATAGTGACTGACCTAACCCTTTGTGCTTCAAAACGACCATGGTCAGTCACCACGGGACTGCCGATCGAAACTTAGGCGCGACACTTGCGGCCCCAGTCTTTGCGGGCTCGCTTTGGCGTGGATAACGCGAACAATGGCGCCTGGGACGACGCGAGACGCAGCGAAACACAGCGACACCTGACCTGCGTTGGCGCGGTGGGTCAGGTGGGACATGGGCAAGCCAAGAAGGACGGTTTGAGCTGATGGAAGAGGTGCTTCGGGAAATAACCGTGGCCACCCGTAGCTTTTGCAGAAAGATTTTTCCAGCATTGCTACTGTTTTTGAGGATTTTGTTGAAGTTTTTCGACAGCATGACCTGGTGACATCATTACCTGCTTCTGATAATCTCCATGTTGCTACAGACATGATTTAAGATTTCTTCATTTGGTGTGGAGCCTATCTGCTGAGGCGTCCACGCCACAGATTTGGAGGACGATGCCGAATTTGAGGCTGGAACTGTGGACCTTTTTCATCATATGGTGGCTTCCCTGCTAACACAATCCATTGGAAAGACTTGACTTAGCTGGGGGAACATTTCATGGAACCTTGCCTTCCAGGAAACTTACAATAATTGTTCAGCAGTATGTAAATGCTGTTCAATTCATAGGTTGCAAGTCAGGTACGAGCCCCTTGCCGCTGCTAATCTCAGTTTTCACATTGGCATCATACTGCTTGTGTCCAACACTTTGCGACCAGCATTCCCAACATCCTTTCTTGCAATTCGGACAGATCAACGTGCCAAAGCATTGTCCTGGTCTCCTTTGAGCATGGCAGATTCAACGAGCCTCAGCAAGCTTGTAATCATTGTGACAAAGAGCTAGCCGCAGCGTGGGGGGGACTGACCGCCGCGGCGGAACTCGCGTCGAATGCCGCAGGTGCGGTACGTGTTCGAAATGTTGGCCATCCAGGCAGGATGCTTGGGCCACCGCAGGGCGACGGACCCGGGAGACGGAGGTTGGGAGATAGCTTGGGCACCCCTTGGTTGGTACTGATAGTTCAGCTTCCAGGCTTACACTTTTTCAAACATGCATTGAAAATAATATGTGCTCTTTTTCCCTTCAAGCGTGGCAAGTTTGCTCCTTCCGGTTGAGACTTTGAGCGTCTTGAGCTGTGAACCTATTATTTGTATGACAGATGGGTTCTATTGGTTTCTGCCAGTCTCGGCAACAATCCCACCATTCAGCAACAAAAACACATACAGTACAGTACATCTTGACTTCTAGGGATGAGAGTGAAAGAAACACAAGCCAACAGGGAAAAGGAACTTCAACATGACAGGAATGGTTGCTGAACGATGGTGAAAGAAACCAAGACCACCGGAAAATAGTTGGTGAGGTCATTTCGAGCCATTTCAAAGGTCATTCGGCTGATCTCGACTCAGGCCAGGTAGACGGAGAGCCTTGAAGAGGCGGTAGAGGTTGTGTTTCACCTGGGCGAAAAGAAGCCACAGAGATTGAACGCTGAGATAGGCTAGGACAGCTAGGAAGCCGGTGACATGAAAGATCAAAAGATATTGACAGATGTACCGTGGATGTTTCCTACATACCTCACCACCATTTTGGTGGGGAATTGGTTGACATGAAGGGCTTATTAGTTCTTGAGAGTGTTCTTTTTCGTTGCGGTGTTGGACCGTTGGTTGAAAGGGGTCCTTTGTGGCCGTAGGCGTCCATGGAATGCCATTGCACGGACTGTGGGGGAAAGGCTGCAGAATGCAGAAAAAGAGAGCGATTCGGTGGGACTGCTTGCAAGACCTCCCTAATCTGTTCCAGTGCAGATCGTTCCGAAGAAGTGTGATGTCTGGTCCTTTTTCTTTAGGCCATTTGCTGGGAAATTGGAATGTGCAGCAATTTGGCATGGCGTGTCAGTCCCTCCTCTTGGGAAAAGCTATATATAGTCACATCGTAGAAGTGGGTCTCCACCCCTCCACACTTTCAGAGGTGCTTCGCATGGCTTGTGGAGAGTCCAGTGGGTCACTGCTTCGGCTCCAGTGACGCGACTGGTCAGTCCACGACGGGATCGCGACGACGATGTGGCGGCGCCTCATTCGACCCGCCCGGAGCTTGGTCGCGCGCGCGCGCGCGCCAACCGAATGGGGTCAAGGCAAGCGATGCCAAGCAGCTGGGGATGTACTTCGACAGAACGTCGGGCTTTTTCGTTGGAAGACACCGCTGCAGGAGAGAAGACATGAAGACACAAAGCAAAGTTGGATTTTGCCCGAAGCTTTTCATTGGTTTGCCATTCCAGACATTTTCAGCCAGGGCACGGCCGTGGCCGCCTCCGCTTCGGCGGCCTTCGCAGTCCATGCGCCGAGCCGATGTGATGACAAGGTGGGATTTCAATGAGAGGTTCTGTAGCTTCTTGTTCCTAGTAGTAAGGCCAGTAGCCCCTAGTAGCTTCTTGTTACTGTGATTCCGACAGCCCGTCGCGGCCCGAGAGCGGTAGGAAAAGGGAGTTAGCCGTTGTGCTTTTTCAGTGGTAGCGGAGCCCCGAAAAGGGGCGGTAGGCTAGCTAGGCTAGTTAGTTTTTGGTAGGCTTGAGCCATGGAGGCTGACGCTCTTGGGGCCGCGGCTGACGAGGTGGATTCGACTTCATCGCCTTCGACGGAGGAGTTGCCGATGCCGGTATTCCTCCACCGGCATCGGAGGGGGCTTCATCGGACCTCGAGGATGGTGAGCACGCCACTCCGCAATGCCCAGGCTGAATCGGGAAGCCCGAGATCGTGGAGGACAGCGAGCGGGGAGCGAAGTGGCGAGAGAGGTGATGAAGGAGCTTCCAGTGGAGAGGCGATGAGCCAGGAGTCTGATCCGTGGCTGGGTGGAGACCCTTGGCAGCGCGGACGGGAGAACTATGAGCCCAAGTATGACAACTGGTCATCTCCGAGCTCTTCGGTGAGTGGCAATGGGACATCACGGAGGAGCAGTTCGAATGACTCTTGGCAATACATTCAAGACACCTCAAGGGAGTCTCGACATGTCTACTGGGCTGATGGTGGATGGAGCCAATCCCAATGGGGTGGATCCCAAGAGGATGACGTGGGGGGTAGCTGGTCTTGGTCCTCTTCAGAATCAGGTTGGTCCGGGACAGGACCAAATCAGTGGGGATGGCGAGATGACCTCGCCAGAAATTGGGAGACTGATTCAGAAAGATCAGGGACCAGCGACTGGTCATCGAGCTCTTGGAAGACAGCCCGAGAAGATGATGGACGGGTTGGTGGTGATTGGGGACGAACTTCATCCGGCCTTCAGGGTGGACAAGAACGAGGTTCTGGTGTATGTGCAGGTGATCGGGCGGCGGCTGGGCGGCCTACGACCGGGGGTCTACCTGCGGAACTTGGAGAGGGTCCTCAAGCTCAGCATGGTGATCCTCTGCGAAGTGAGGCGAGCAGCCGGGGTGAGCATGACAAGCATGATGGCATGTCGCCCATGTCACCAGCGGCTCAACCAGCTGGTGAGTGGAACCGACCCTCAGGACTAGTACCTTCGGGGCAGCCATCAGTGGCCGGAGGCTCAGGTGGTGCAACTGGGGGTTCTTTGAAAGAAGGCACCACCGGGAAGATCTCCACTACATACCCTCCCATCTTCTATGCTCGACCAGGCGAGAGTTGGGAGCAGTACTGGAGGACCGTCACCTTCTGGCTGGCCTCAGAAGGAAAGTCATTGCCGGTGGAGATGAGAGGTCCACGCCTCATGCAGCAGCTGAGGGAGCGTGCCGGCAAGATCGTTCAGCATTTGACGGTGGAAGAGGTGACCTCCGAACAAGGAGTGCAGCTCATCAAGCAGGAAATGGAGAAATCACCAATAATCAGGCTCCTCGACAACAAGAAGATTGACAAGAGACGCCAAAAGTTCATGAAACTGACGAGGTTGGCCAATGAGAGCATCGAGAGTTTCATCAATCGAGCAGAGATCTACCGGCGGGAGAATGAAGCTTCACCTGCATACCGAGTTGGTTCTTGCTTTTATGTTGGTCACTTGCTCGACAGCGCCAAACTGACAAGAAAGGACTTGGCGCTCTTGAAAGCAGCTTGTGGAGGCGATGTCGAGGATGAGACTAAGGTTATCTCCGCGATGTTGGAACTGGCTGTGAACAATTTGAAGGAGCACCACACTGCCCAATTGGTCGTGGTGAACCTCAATTGGACAATGAGGATCAATACCTGATCCAGAAGCCTGGTACCTCATCTTCCTCAACCCCACCTACATCGGCTTCTGAACATACTCCACGTCGACGCCCTTTTTCACGGGGGCGGGGTGGTGGCTTTGGGCGTTTTCGCCGTGGTCGTATTCGAGACGCTCTGGTTGCCATCTTGGAGGAAGAAGATGACGGTGAAGGGATGGCGGAGGAACTGGCTGAGGCATTGGGGGAAGACTCGCTGGATGAAGAGGAAGAGAGAGTAGAACAGGCCAGCGATCTGAATAAGTTCAACGACGTCCTAGTGGCGGGATCTACATCTGAGACTTCATCGGCGGCAACACCCCTGGCGGAGATCTATGCCCAGGAGTATAAAGCCCGGAATCGGGTGCGAGAGATCAAAAAGATGAGGCAATACTTCCAGAAGGAGGCACCGGGCGGTCCAGCAGCGGCGAGGAATGAACATGTGAAGAAGTGGGTGGCCGAGCAGCAGAAGAAGGAACCCTGCTTCATTTGCCACCAACTAGGACATTGGAGCCAAGAGTGCCCATACCGTCGCAAGGAGAAGCCAATGGTTCACTCCGCAAATGTGACTTTTCCTTCGTCACAGCCACAGCAAGAAGACTGGGCTTTACTGGAGACGTTGGTGTCAGCTGGAGTGTACATGGTGCGACACAGCGGGGGGGACCAATCGGTGAGACCACCCATGAAATCTTTTGGGCACTGGACGAATTGGCTGGGCAACAACACTCCAAGATGATTGTTGACTTGGGATGTATGAGGACGGTGGCAGGGACTACTTGGATCAACCGAATTGTACCACAGTGGAAAGAGAAGAAGTGGTTCATCAAGGTGGTCCCGGAAGCAGAACAATTTCGTTTTGGGGATGGTCAAGTCGTTCAAAGCAAGTTTGCCGTTCTGCTTGAAGTGGCGATAGCGGGCATCCATGGTGTGCTTCGTATATCGGTCGTGCACGGAACGTGTCCACCGTTACTGTCCAAACCAGTCTGTTCAGCATTGGGTCTGGTCATAGACACGGCTTCACACGCAGTGTCATCACGGAAGTTTGGTGTGAAGGGGTATGGCCTGGAACAATCCAAAGGTGGACACTATGTCATTCCCATCAACGATTTTGGAGACACGACGACGATGTCGATTTCGAGTGATTTTGTGATGCAAGCGCACAAAGAGATTGTGGTGATGTCCGATCCGCGGGGCTCAGCAATTCGGGATCGGGATCCGGACGCCCCCTCCTCACCTGCGGAGCTTGCCCATGTCCACGCGCCGGAAGACTGGAGATCCGGAGGTCTTCGAGCTCAGTCAGCAGGAATGGGAAAACGTGGGGCAGGACAACGAGTTGGAAGAGATGTCCGCCCAAGAGGAAGACACGACCGGGGTGGCATCCCTGAGGCATCCGATGAGGACAATGAAGCGACAGTCATTGAATCGCATGCTACGGAAGCCAACATCCACCAGTCCACCGGGGCGCAAGCCCATGAGCAAAATGACCAAGGGCCGGGACAGCAAGACACCGGAGCCGGATCACCCTGCTTCGAGTTCAGAGGCACAGATGAGCATGGCCCAGATCCAAGCCATGATGGTGCGAATGCAGGAGATGATGATGGCTCAGGGCATGTCCAGGGAGCAGGAAATCGAGGGAGATCAGGGGCACGATCCGGGTCAACGACATCGAGGACGGAGTCAAGAGCCCACGAAGACCAAGGACAAGGTGAAGAAGACACCCAGGGCGGTGAGGACGGCGGCCCTCACGGGAGACGAGGCGCCGTTTCCTTCTCTGTCGACACAGTTCTCGGACGACCCAACGATGAACCTCATGATCAGTCTGCGGTCGCAGACCCTCACGTTCAAATGGAAGCTTGTCCTGCTCACGTTGAGGATCAAGCATGCGGTGGAGATGGAGAAGCGCCGGTGGAAGCGCAATCCAAGGTGGATCATGAAGATGCACGGCAACCACATTGCGAGCCTATGGGGCCACCTGGGAGCGGCAAGGCAGCTGTGCTATTCCCCGAAGGTGGCTTGGCTGGCCCAGTGATGCAGGAGGAGACCTCGACTGCTGAACAGGAGGCTCGGCGGATGGACCGGCTCGACCTCGTCATGGGCACCCCGGGTTCCGAGTCGGCCATGGACGCCTTCCATGTGGTGCCCGACTATGAGATTGTGAATGACAACGGTGGCGACTATGAGATTGTGAATGACAACGGTGGCCAGACTGACGATGAGCAGGGTGCTTCAGCGTCAGTGGATGAGGAGACGGGAAGACACAAACACACCTTGAATCGGAGACAGCACCGGACCCTGGTTCAAGGAGTCCAGAAAGCATTGCAGACTCACTCAAAGATCTTTGATGTCCTGGACGCGAAGTCGGCTCAGGTCAAAGCTTGGACTTTGTTTGAAGTCTTTGCAGGCTGTGCCCGTTTTTCTC